TCAGGACCAGCTCAGTCACATCCCCATAGGGATCATCCGGGGGGAGCATCACAGCTACACTGGGATGAGCAGGATGGGTGTGACCCCCGCCCCCCCATGCATCCCATGGCCACTCACATCGATCTTGGAGGTCTTGGCAAAGGCCCCCACGGGGTGGACGTGGTCGTAGAGGATGATGACGCCGACCATCACCCGCATGCAGAACAGGAGGGTCTCGGTGTTGGTGAAGCGGCTCCGGTATTCCCTGTGCCGGGAGAGGGGCCGGCTGAGCCTGGGGGGCTGGCAGAGGGATCCCGGCACTGAGGTGTCCCCCCCAACCCATATGGGGTACTCACGGGGTCTCCAGCATCACCCTGCAGACACAGGCCATGGTGCTCAGGCAGTCAGTCGTGTCCTCGATTGGGAGGGTCTTGTTCTGAAACCCAACATGTCCTGACTGCTGTTTCCACCCCCAGTCACCCACATGGTGCTGGGGCTGTAAGGAGCCTTCCCCCCACCCTGAGGGTCCCCCCAGCATCCCTCACCTCTGAAACAAACTTGGTGGTGGCATTGCTGAGTGTTTTGAGCATGGGGGTGGCCTCAGCATAGAAGAGGGACATCCTGTTGGCCATCTCGTTGTTCACCTCGCTCTCTGCATCCAGCTGGGGAGGGGTGTGATGGGGGGCCATTAAGGTGGTTAATCACCCCCGAGTCACCCTCAGCCCTGTGAACCCCTGGGGGATGCCATCCTTGGTCAGGGTGGGGGACAGCACCATCCTTTCACCTGCAGGTTGTTGATGCGATTCCGGCTGATGGTCCGTCTGTAGTAGCTGAAGTCGTTCTGGATGGCAGGGTTGGTCATCTGGGTGGGAAACCTGGGTTAGGGGCTACAGCAAACCTGGGGGGTCCCAAAGGGACCCTGCTGGCTCACAACTTTTGCACGGTGCCAGTGTGGGGACCCCCAGTTCTTGTCCTGCACAGGGAGGTACCTTGAGCTCATCGAAGCTGAGGGTGAAGTGAAGGATCTCAGCAAACTGCTTGGCCAGGGCTTGCTCCCGCTCGAGGTGCTGGGTCGGGGCGTACGGGGGGCTGGTGAGGGCCTCCAGAAGGCTCCGCAGGGCGTTCTCTGGGGACGAAGCATCTCTGGTCCCCTCTTGCCCCTCTGCACCTCCCCACCTCCCCGATGGGGAAACTGAGGCACAAGGCAGCACAGCACCCAGAGCTGAGCACACTCCATGGCTGGGACTCCTGCAGCCCGTCCCATTCCTGCATCCGGGCTGGGATGTGGGATGCAAGGAGGGGATGCAGGGAAGGGGGAGTGGGGGTCAGGCACTCACCCAGCCGCAGGGAGAACTCATAGAAGCGTTTCAGCTTAGCAACGAGGGGGCAGACGGCGCTCCAGGCCCGCTCCTGCAGCCGCAGGTCCCCGGGGTTTTGGATGGCCTGGGGAAGGAGAGCGCCAGCGGTCGCCCCAAGCTGTGGTGGGTGGGTGGGTGAGCAGCGGGCGCCGGCGCTACACCCACCTCTCGGATCTCCTGCCCGGCCCCCGTGTAGGACTGCAGCTCGGCCAGGATGGTCTGTGCCTCCTCCAGCACCGCGTTCACCTGGTTCCACACCGCCGTCTCGGCCTCCGTCGGCTGCGCATCTGCAGGGCAGCGCCCCGGGGAGAGAAACCCGGAGGGCTCTGAGCGGGGCCCGGGGCGGCGAGAGCCAGAGTGGGGTGCCAGCACCCCGTCCCACGGCTCTCCCGCCAGTCCACAGCCCTTCCTGGCGGGATTCTCCCCCTGATCCGTCTCCTTGCCCGAGCTCGAGTCAAGCCGTGGAGTGGGGGGCAGGTGGGGGCGAGTCCTGGCTGCCCTGTGACCACAGTCCTGCTCATGGGGGTCCCTGAGGAGCCCTCGGCCCCGCTCACAGGGCTCCCCGAGCAGCCCTCGGCCCCGGGCTGGCCCCAACTGCCCCGGGGGAGAGGTGTGGAGTGACAGCCCCCGGCCATGGGTCTGCTCCCCCTCCCCGGGGAGATCCCTGGACAGCAAAGGTGGGGGCAGGACATCTGGGATGGGCTCAATGCGATGGGCGACGGGTACAAGAACTCAAAATGGCGTGGATGTGGAACTCAGGATAAATACGAAACAAAAAAGGAAAATAAAAATCCCATCTCACTTTCAAAGTCAAGGAAAAAATTAGGGCCTTGGTCAAGTTCGTTATAAGTCAACACTTTTAGAAGGTTCCCCATGTGAAACCTGCAAGAGAAGAAACAAGAGGAAAAAAGCATGATGGTGAGGTGGAGCTCGGGGAAGAGGTGCTGGGCTGTGGGCAGAGGCGGTGGCCAGAGCCCCCGTCCTCCCCCCACTGCTCCCCGGGGGTTCGGGGGGCTCCTGGACAGCCGGGGGGTGACCCCTCAGCTGCTCCCGGCCCCGAGTGCAGCCTCTTCCCCCCCCCGATGGTGATGAGCGCTGGCGGATGGGGTGATGGAGAGGAAGGAGCGGAGGGAGGAGGGAGCCGCCGGGAAGCGGTGAGCGAGTCCCTGAAGTCTTGGCTACAGGCGTTCCCCTCCTCTAGGGGCAGAGCCAGCCCCGGAAAGGGGCATCCCAGCGAGCCCCCAGAGCCCCATGCCCGTGGGCTGTGGAGGGGACTGGAGGCAGGTGAAGGTTGTGCTGCCTCAAAGGAACCTGGAGGAGCCAGGAAGGTCTCTTGCCGTGGGAGTGGGTGGCTGTGTGACCCCCAGCCCTGGGTATTTTGGAGGTGCCTCTGCCTGAGGTGGTTGTGCATGGCCCTTCCCCACTGGGGATGGAACTGGGGCCAGGACTGGGGTGAACAGTTGCACTGTTTTTACGCTCCTCACTCTTGCTCTGAGCTGTGCCCTGGAGGAATTACAGGAGAGGGAGCCAGGGGGGCCCTGGGGCTGTGCCCGGTCTGGCATCTTGTCACGGTGTCCACCATCTCCTGTACACCCCTGTGCCCAGCCTGGGAGGTCTCAGAGCTGTGCTTTCCTGTCCCAATTAGCCAAGGTCAGCAGGAAGCAGGGGAAGGTCCCTGATCCCCATCGCTTGGTTTAGGCTGTGACCCCTGCACCAACCTTTCCAGTGGTGCAGGTGGATCATTCCCTCCTCCTTACCCAGCCTCCAGGCTGTCCCTGCTGTGAGGGTGGCAGGGGACATGCCACGTGGCCACCAGTGCCATCAATTACAGCAGCAGGCAGGTGCCTGAGGTCGTCCTGGGCCAGGTCCTGCTGCTGGGATGTATCCTGTATCCTGCCACTCAGCCAGGATGTCTCCCCACACTTCGAGGGATGGGGCATCTCTAGGGGTCTCGCTCCCCTGCCCCATTCAACCCTTTGCAGGGCGAGTTTGGGGCTGCCCCAAAGCACTTGGGGAC